AATGAGGTTGAAAGTGGGGCTAAGAAAGAAGAACTGCTTAAAAGGCTATTTAAGAAACAGGGACTTCCAGGAAGATGGGGTAGGCATACTTTCCCCCCGACTCCTCCCATTAAGTACAACTAAAATCCCTGGATTACATCTATAAAACAAGTATACAGCTCTGAGAAGTGGAGAGAAGGCAGATTGGCTAGGGAGCCAGATTGGCTAGGGACCTCATGACCCAAGGAACAATAAGTAAGTTTTCTGGGCTTTTCTTTTCTTTTTTTTTTTTTTTTGAGACAGAGTTTTGCTCTTGTCACCTAGGCTGGAGTGCAATCATGCGATCTTGGCTCACTACAACCTCTGCCTCCTGGGTTCAAGTGATTTTTCTGCTTCAATCTTTCAATTAGGTGGGATTACAGGTACCCACCACCTAGCCTAGCTAATTTTTGTATTTTTAGTAGAGATGGGGTTTCACCATGTTGGCCAGGCTGGTCTCGAACTCTTGACCTCAGGTGATCCACCCACTTCAGCCTCCCAAAGTGCTAAGATTACAGGTATAAGCCACTGTGCCCAGCCACCTGGCCTTTTCTTTGTACCATATATTCTAGATGGGGCACTAGAAGAGCTAACAACCTGGAAACATCAACATGTGTAGAAGAGTAACAACAAAACAATAGAATGAAGACAGGAAAATTATTTTACTTGAAGATAGAAAAATAGAAATTATCAAATCATAACACCATAAAGAAAATAGACTTAAAAAGACAGACCTTCAGGGACATGCTGAACTATATCAAAAGACCTCACATTCATGTCTTCAGAGTTCCAGAAAGAGAGAAGAAAGAGTGGGGGCTGAAAAATATTCAAAGAATTGCAAAAAATTTACCAAATTTGGCAAAGGATATAAGCCTACAAATTTAAGAAGCCAACTTGAGAAGCATGGTTAAGGGTGGGAGTACCCCCATTGGGAAGATGGGAATTACATGAAAATTTACTGATACTGAATGTTGGGATCCTCTATCTTCTACCTCCCAACTCTGCTTCCAGAACACAGGCAGCTAAGGCACATCTCTCCAGGAATGCGATTTGAAAGATTTTTGTATGATCATATGTAAAAAAAAAAAAAAAAGACCTAATGATACTGACTAACAACAGAAAGAGCCTGGGCAGATCAACCAGTGAAGAAGAGATGAGGAGGAGAGGAAAGGAAGGGAGAAGAGAGAGTGGGGTAGAGGTTGGTGCCAAGAACAGAAGAAAGCAAATTGTCAAATTGTGAAAGTTTCTCAGACCCAAAGGACATAAATTTCTAGACTGAAAGGGCCCACTTCGTGTCCAGCACATAGTGAAATTTGGGAATACTGGGGCCAAAGAGAAGGTTCAATAATATTCCAGAGAGAAAAAAAGATAGGTTTATATAAAGAATCAAGAGGCAGAATGGCATCATACATCAGACTTTTCTTTTTTCAGACATAGTCTTGCTGTGTTACCCAGGCTGGAGTGCAGTGGTGCAATCTTGGCTTACTGCAGCCTTTGTTTCCCAGCCTCCAGCAATTCTTGTGCCTCAGCATCCCGAGTAGCTGGGACCACAGGCATGTGCCACCACATCCGGCTAATTTTTGCATTTTTAGTAGAGATGGATTTCACTATGTTTGCCAGGCTGGTCTGGAACTCCTGGCCTCAAGAGATCTTCCCGCCTCAGCCTCCTAAAGTGCTGGGATTACAGGTATAAGCCACCATACCCAGCCCAGACTTTTCAGTAGTAATTCCTAGTTTTAAAAGCTATGAAAATATATTTTCAAAAATTTTGGGGAAAGTGATATTCTATTGTACAATTTTATACCTAGTAACACTATAAGTTAAGAGTAGAAAAAGACATTTTCAAGTATGTGAGGTCTTAAAAGTTATGTGCAATGTACCCTTTCTTAGGAAGTTAATGGATGTCATCTACAGTCAAAGGAGTAAATCAAGAAGTACGAAGACATCAGATTTAAAATGCAGAGAAACCACAACATACAAGAAAACCAAAGGGAATTCCTGAGATAATGGCAAAGTGATAATAGTTATGTACATAGCAGGCCTATGGAGCCAATTCAGATTAGAACTGGTCAGAAAGCTCTGAAAGAGTACTTTAAATAAAATGAAGCCAGTATTTTATTTCAAACACAATCTATTGGCTTTGAATATATTGAAAGGAGATTTTTACAACTTAAGGAATTTGTGGCTAAATTAATGAAAGCCACATAGAAAATGAGCAAATGAAAAGCAATACAATTACTGACTGCTGGGAAAACAACATTTTTTGCAGAAAAGAAAAATCAGCTTATATTATATGGCTCACCTGTGAATCACATTTTTCAAACCTATTAAGGTAAAAGCTGAATACTTAAGATATAACCATATTGGTGAATGAAAGGCCAGGAGAGGGTGGTTGTATATGACGAAAATGAGGAAAAATGAAAGAGACAACTAAATTCTTATCTTTCAGAGTTGGAAGTCAATATCCAATGCCAAAAACTGAAAAAAAAGTTTAAATAGCAATATAAGCATATTATTGAAAGATAAAGATATAAATGTCAAAAAATAATCAGCTAAAAGAGTTAAAAATGGTTGCCTCTGAGGAGCGAGAATTAGAGGGTAACAGAAGACTGTCAAGGAATTCCTTCCTTCCTTCCTTCCTTCCTTCCTTCCTTCCTTCCTTCCTTCCTTCCTTCCTCCCCTACCCTCCCCTCCCCTCTCCTTTCTTTCCTTTCTTTCTTGCTCTGTTGCCCAGGCTGCAGTGCAGTGGTGCAATCTTGGCTCACTGCAACCTCCACCGCCCAGGTTCAAGCAATTCTCCTGCCTCAGCCTCCCAAGTAGCTGTGATTACAGGCACACACCACCACATCTGGCCAATTTTTGTATTTTTTAGTAGAGATAGGGTTTCACCATGTTGGCCAGGCTGGTCTCGAACTTCTGACCTCAGGTGATCCACCCACCTCGGCCTCCCAAAGTGCTGGGATTACAGGTGTGAGCCACCATGCCCAGCGTGAATTCTATTTTTCATAACAAACCTGGTACAGCTATTTGATTCTAAACTGTATGCATGTATAATACTGTACCGAAAAAAATCAAAACTAGGCCAGGCCAGGTACAGTGGCTCACACCTGTAATCCCAGAACTTTAGGAGGCTGAGGCAGGAGAATCGCTTGAACTGGGAGGTGGAGATTGCAGTGAGCTGAGTTTGTGCCACTGCATTCCAGCCGTGGCAACAGAGTGAGACCCTGTCTCAAAAAAAAAAAAAAAAAAAATTGAGCATGGTGGCACATGTAGTCCTAGCTAATTGGGAGGCTGAGAGGAGAGGATTGCTTGAGCCCAGGAGTTCGAGGCTGCAGTGAACTATGGTTGTGCCACTGCACATTAGCCTAGGCAACAGAGTGAAACCCTGTTTCTTAAAAAAAGAGAGAGAACTAAAATATTAAAATACAAGGCTCAGTATCATATTTCATAATGATTCTTTGGAAATATATTTTTGTCCTGTCACAAATATGGATTGTTGATCATTTATTATCTTTGGACACCCAGTTTTAAATTGTTATTCCATTTTCCTAGCTTTCTTCAGTCGCATAACTGCTTTTAAGAACAGAATTTATTTTAAATTAATTATAAACTTTGTATTTCAAAGTTTAATGATTTGAAGATATTTCCTGTATTTAAATAATTATTGTTTTATTATTAATGGTGTTACAGTGGGTGATACTTAAAATATGGTTTTTTGACATAACTCTGCCAAAAAATGAAGAATTTCATTGGCTATGTACTTAAAATTTTCAGAATTGATTTTGGAAGTGTTTGCGTTAATACTAATTTTGTGCCAACATTTTTTTTTTTTTTTTTTTTTTTTTTTTGAGACGGAGTCTCGCTCTATCGCCAGGCTGGCGTGCAGTGGCATGATCTTGGCTCACTGCAACCCCTGCCCCCTGGGTTCAAGCGATTCTCCTGCCTCAGCCTCCTGAGTAGCTGGTATTACAGGTGCACATCACCACACCCAGCTAATTTTTGTGTTTTTAGTAAAGGTGGAGTTTCACCATGTTGGCCAGGATGGTCTCAATCTCCTGACCTCATGATCCACCTGCCTTGGCCCCCCAAAGTGCTGGGATTACAGGCGTGAGCCACTGTGCCCGGCATGGGCCAACATTTAAAAATTTGTGTTAATATGTAATATAATTTATTAAAAATTTAAAAAACTATCAACTTTGGTTCTCACACACTGATTTTCAGACAAGTACAGGGAAGTATCACCATACTATGGTGAAATAAGAAGAGTAAACACAATATAGCATGTTGTTCATGAAGCTCAATCAACTTGAGAAATTTACTCTTTATGTCCTTTCTGCTTTTTTGTTTTGTAATGTTTGAATAGTCATTCTTTTACCAATGATGCCAATGATGTAATACAGATAGCAGGGCTTTTTTTTTTTTTTTTAAACATGCTTTTATGGCAAAATTTGTCCAAGAATTTTTTTATAATATTAGCTGGGCACAGTGGCATGCGCCTGTAGTCCCAGGTCCTCAGGCAGCTGAGGTAAGAGGAGACTTGAGCCCAGGAATTTGAGGATGAGTGTGCAATGATTACACCTGTGAATAGCCACTGTACACTAGCCTGAGCAACACAGTAAGACCCTGGCTTAAATATATATATATAAACATATATACATACACTATTTTATGAAATCTCAAAGTCTGGCAACTCAATCTTAGAAATAAATAATGTAGGAGATACAGAATTCCTTCCATGAAACTGAAAAAAATGTGTTTAAAAAGTAACGTTTGAAAAACTATCGATAGTATATTTAATATTGATCTATAATTGTTGTAACCGAGCGAGTCATGGAAGAAGCGTCACACTCTGAGTTCAAATTGCAAGTCCTTTTATTAGCCAGTAACTGAGAGTCAGCTCATGCTCAAAATCTCTCTCTCATCAGTAAACTCCTGTGGTTTACTGATATTTATAACTGTATCTCTTATGATATTTATCTTAGGTAACTTGTGAACCATACCAAGACTCATCATCTCGTTTCAAAGTTACTGTTTCTGTCGCTGAGCCCCTTTCTTCTAACATTGCAAATATTCCAAGAGATTTGGTTGACGAGATTTTGGAGGAACTGGAACACAGTGTGCCTCTTTTGGAAGTGTATCCTGTTGAGGGACAAGATACTGATATACATGATATTGCTTTGGCCTTGGAAGTTGTCAGGTATTAGGACCTTTACTTTTGAAAGTTAAATTATCATACTCAAAAGTTGATGTGAAAGTTTTGTTCATATAATCACTTTATAAGTATTTACTGATTTAATTTTTACTCACTACTACTGGATTAAATTTGTCAATTTTAAATTAATATATTGTATTTGTAACTTTTAGTAAAAACATTTCCTTACAGAAACATATATGGATAATGAAAAGTTTGCAATTTTTTGATCTTGCATTTTACAAAAATCAAATTTGAAAGAATTCTTGAAATAAGTAACATTAACTTGTATTCATATTTAACCGTATTAAATACATTAGCGTTTCTCACATTTAAGAGCATTACAAATACTACATATCATCATTCACATTATGATTACTTCTTATAAGTTGATGTAATTTGAGGGAAGCTATCCACAAACAAAATACAGAATATGTTTTTCTAATGTTTTCCTCCCATACAAATTTGATAGTATTGTACATATTATTTATTTGTTGAGCAAGTAGTAGCCAAAATCTATGAAATTTAGAAACTGAATTTTACAGTCTCACTTCCAGAAACATTATCTCATTTATAGTAACCTAAAATAAAATGCAAATCAACTAATTTTGAAAGTTTTACCTTTTATTTTATTTCACTCAAAGGTCATTTTAAAATATTTTTCTTAAGAATAAAAATTGAGGTAGAGAATTCTGACATCAGAATATCTTTTTAGCTCTAAATCAGTAGTGTCTGTTTTTGATTACTTTCATCTTACTTTGGTTTATCGTAGGTTTTTTTATGACTTTCTTTGGAGAGACTGGGATGATGAAGAAAGTTGTGAGAATTATGCTGCACTTATTGAAGAAAGAATTAATTTGTAAGTATAGTTTAGAAACTTATACCACACATTAAAAAATAAACGTTATAATTACATTGATACTTTTCAGGTGGTGTGATATGCAGGATGGAACAATACCTGGTCCTATTGCACAACGTTTTAAAAAAACTTTGGAGAAATATAAAAACAAACGTGTCGAGCTCATTGAGTATCAAAGCAATATTAAAGAAGATCCATCTGCAGCAGAGGCTGTTGAATGCTGGAAAAAATACTATGAGATAGCCATGCTCTGTGGATTATTGAAAATGTGGGAAGATTTACGCCTCCGGTAATAATTTGCTCTATTTTAAATAGAAGCAGAAGTTTACATGGCTATTACTTTATCATAGCACTTAATTGTGGTATATGTTCTGATTAAAGTGAAGTATAAAATTAGATGTCTAATTTATGAAGTAAGCACAAGGTAAAACTATCAGTATTGGGAAATTATGTTTATATTAACTGAATTCACTGAAATCATTTTTTTTCACCAAAAGAATTCATTAATCCAGTTCTTTCCTTATCTTTCATTTTAACTCTTTTGATTTTGGCTAAAGCATAAGAAAGGAAGAGGTAGACCTCTTCTATATAGAATATGTGAAGTAAATAAGCTGACTGGATTATAGCTAAAAAGTAGCAAGACATAGACAGAGTCTGTCTACAGAACAGGTTTTAAAAGAAGCACAAAGACAGGCCATATAAGTATATATGTAGAGGCCATATAAGTATATATATAGTTATATAGTTATAGTTATAACTTTGTGCTTCTTTTAAAACCTGTTCTGTAGACAGACTCTGTCTATGTCTTGCTGCTTTTTATATATTTCTACTGAATATAGTAGATATATATATACAGTATATATATCCACTATATATATATAATATATCTACTATAAATATATATACCAGGTTATACTATATATATACTATATATATATATAGTATATATATAGTATATAGGTTATAGTATATGTATAGTATATAGGTTATAGTATATGTATAGTATAACCTGGTATATATATTTCTACTGTATATATATAGTATATATATGCTATATATATATACTAAATATATATAAATATATATATTATATATAGTGTGTGTGTGTGTGTATATATATATACACACACACACTAAAGCCACATCATCTTTGCATAAAGCAATAAAAGTGCTTCAGAGCATGCAAAAGATTATACCTAGGATCATTGGTAAAAGATTATACTAAAGAGATTACTGGTAAATCCATATCTACTGGAAAAAGAGTGTCCCTTTTGGCTGACAGTAATGATAAAAAGCTGACAATTATACTGACATTTTTATTCTGACTTTCTGTTGGAAACATTTAAATGATAGAGACAGGAAACAGGAAACACAAAAGCAGGAAGAAGAGAAAGAACTAATTAGAAGTGCTGAATAGCAAACAATATAAAAACAACTAGGAGAGAAGCTGGAATAGTTCTGCTGGGAGGCCAGTAGGCAACTATTTTATGGAGATCACATCCTTTGAAACAAAATAATATTGCTTATAACAGAATATCATTAAATTGGGTAAAAGCAAAAAGAAAAGAAAAATGAAACAAAATAATGTGTTAATTGAGCATAGTATCTAAAATTAGGCATATTCGAAAATATTCTTTTGCCTTACTATCACAGACATAACCCATCTTTGTGTGAGTCTACAACTCAATGGATTATGAAAGTACAATCAGAAAATTGTTCTACTGTATTGGAAGGTTAAAGTGGCTGAGGCAATGGTTATAGTAGGTTGCTTGCAGATTTCCAGGTACGGTTCATTAAAATGAAAATATTTTAGAGTTTTAAGGGTTTAAACACCAATTATCTGAAAGAGCTGAATCATTACGTTGCTCTCAAGTTGCTTATTGCTCTCAAGACACTTATAATTAATGAAAACTATTTCTCAAAGATGCTTAGTACCAAGTTTTTATTTACTGAATAAGGACAGGGTCAGTCTTTTTCATGTTAATTTAATTACGACTAAATCTTTTCAACTATAGAGTTCATGGACCTTTCTTTCCAAGAATTCTGAGGCGTAGGAAAGGAAAAAGAGAATTTGGAAAGACTATAACACATATTGTAGTGAAAGTGATGACTACTGAAATGGTAAGAAATAAACTGTATTCTTATTTGTTATTTATTAGCTGTGTGTAATCAGAAAAGAAGCTCCCTGAGGGTAGAGTCCTTGTCTAATCATTAATGCCTTATTTTCTCAACTACCTCAGGCTCAGCTATTGCCGTATAATAGATACTAAATAAATAAATGGTGACAACTATTTACTGAGTACTAACCCTGTTGCCAGGTACTATGGTAATTGGTATGATGAAGATACGACATAAATGTGAGAAAGGCTGCATTTAGGGGACATAAAATGTTGATCCAGATCCACAGTCTTCCTTCTTCACACACTTGAAAATTTCAGGCCTGGTGCAAATATGGTCACAAGTATATAGGCAGTTACAATTATGACACAGAATGATAAATGCTATCATAAGGGTATGACAGGGTACACATAGGATGGTTACATATGACAGAATTAGGAGTCTGGAAATGCTAGATAGAAGAAATAACTCAGCCGAATAGCTGAATCCTGAAGGATGAATATAAATATATCCAACTCAAGAACAAACACATTTTCTAAGCCAACAAGTAAATATTTTCTTCTCACTTGACCTCTCAGTAGCATTTCAAAACTCTCTCATTGAAATTATCTTTTTCCTTGTTTTATGTTAGTATACTTTCCTGGTTTTTATTCTCTCTAGTTACTTTTTTTTCTTATTCCTCTAACTGCTTGGTACTTGTCTTTTTTATGCACTATATTATCCCAAAGGGATTTAGCTAATCTTCTCCCATAACTTCATTTGTATATGCAGGTACTTATCCAAAATGTATATTCATAGTCCAAACTTTTGTTCTAAGCCCCAAACCTTTATGTCCAACTGCCTATTGCTTATGACCACTTAATCATCTTACCAGTACATCAACTAATTGTCTGCAATTAATTTCATGATCTTATCCATTGACTAGCTTTTATTCTGGAGTTATCTGTTTCAATAAATGGTACCATCATCTACTTGGTTGCTAATAATAGTTTTCTGGAAGTTATCTTGTTCATATCCCTCATCACTCTCATACACACTCATTTTTCTTCGTCACTCTCCTCACATCCTGGGATAAGCTGTGTTGTTTCCTCTGCCTGCTGAGCTACTATTCATTCTTCAGGTCTTGATTTAAACATTTCCATAGGAAAAGACCTCCTCAACCTTTCATAAAACATTAGACTGCTGTATACAATTATAGCACCCGGTGTTTTTCCTTATTGGCACTTTCCTTTATCATCACTACATTTAATACTTTTGTGGCTATCTAGTATATGAGCTTCTTGAGAGCAAAGAGTATTTACCACTCATCCTGTCACCTAGCATGATGCTTGGTACATGGTAGGTGTCCAACAATTTTTGGTGAATCAGTAAATTAGTATATGTGTGACAAGAGAGGATGGTACATATGAGGAACTGAAAGAAGGCCACCAAGGCTGGTAGTTAACATCTAAGAGAGTGATGAAAGATAAAGCTGGCTTATTAGACCATCTTGTTTGCTATTCTACTAATTTTTATTCTTTTTGATAAAATTTAATTTTCCTTTTAACTACTTATTAGAGTATACTATTTTTCCAATAATATAGAGCATATTATTGGATAAGCTCCAATATTGGAACATATTATTCAGTCATGTTAATTATTTTACCAACATCTTTATAAATACCTTTTAAAATATCTTTGTAAAAAGTAAGGTATAAATCTTGCTATTATCCTCAGCGTTATTTTATTTTTATTTTTACTTCTTTTTTTCACTTTTAAATAGGCCCTGGCTTTATTCACTTTCTTATATGACAGAAATTTCTCTGAAGTTTTTTGTTCAGTGCTGTGCAATTCTGTTTTCATTTATGTAGTTATACCTGAACTTCAGAGGCCAGAATAATGAGAGGGAGACAACTATGAGGAGACAGCATCATCAGCTTCCACTTTACTTAGACCTTTAATTTTAGATTTACTTTTGAGGTTCATGAAATATTATAGTTAGATTGTAGTATATCTGTGCATATAAGCTTTAACAATTTTCTTGTCTTTAAGGATTCTTGACTGAGAATTCTTGCTCTATACCCACCCTTTTTGCAGTTTATTTATGCCTGTCATCTTATGTTGGTGATCTTTACAAGCAGTGCAGTGGAAAGGCATGGACTTTGTAGTTAGAAACCCAATGTTCAAATACCCTATCTGAGACCACTTAATAAGTAATCTTCGGCAAAGTGCATAACCTCTCTAAGCCTCAATTTCCTTACTTGTAGAATGCTTTAAAAAGAGAGAGATAAAAATATACTGTGCTAGTTAAGAGCATGGGCTCTGAAGCCAAATTGCCTGGATTCTTGGTTTTGCCAATTACTAATTAGATGATTTTCAACTAATTATTTAAACCATATGTACTTTAGTTCCTCATGTGAGTAAAATTGGGATAATAATCCTATATTCCATATTTATAGAGTAGTTGTAAAGCTTACATCAGTTTATATTGGTAATATGCTTAGAATATTGCCCAGCGCATAGTAAGCGCTGAATAAATGTTTACCACTTATTTCAGTTTCTGCATGAAAGTTGAACATTAGTCATTCTCCCGGATCTAGGAAAAACAGTGGTATCCCCATTGTGTATCACAGGCCTCTATCCTCTTGTTGATCACAGGCTGTTCCTTCTTTCTATCTGGAGATGGTATAGTGTGATGCTGGAGAACATAGACTTTAAGTTCATAAAAACCTGGATTTGATTCACAGTTTGCTTTTTCATATTTCTACCATGTAATAATAAATTACATGGTGTCTCTTATTTCCTCCTCTGTAAAAGAAAGTAATGAAGTCTGTCCCACAGTATTAGGCTTAAGTGAAATAATTTATATAAATCTTTTGGCAAAATGCCTAGTATATAAATAAATATCAATTGATACTATTATTACTATTTTGCAGTTCCTATCCCAATAATATAATCATCGTTTTTTGTTAGTTTCCCTGTAGTGCTACAAAAGGTGATAATCATGTCTGAAAATATACCAAGTATAAAGAAGAATTTAATCAGTTTTCTTTCATCTATACTACTGATTCTGTTGCCACCTGTCTCCTCAGAGACAGTGTGCTCTCAATCAGTCCTTCTTTTTTTGTATCTTTTTTCCTTTATTAAAAAAACTTAGCCGGGCGCGGTGGCTCAAGCCTGTAATCCCAGCACTTTGGGAGGCCGAGGCGGGTGGATCACGAGGTCAAGAGATCGAGACCATCCTGGTCAACATGGTGAAACCCCGTCTCTACTAAAAATACAAAACATTAGCTGGGCATGGTGGTGCGTGCCTGTAATCCCAGCTACTCAGGAGGTTGAGGCAGGAGAAATGCCTGAACCCAGGAGGCGGAGGTTGCGGTGGGCTGAGGTTGCGGTGAGCCGAGATCGCGCCATTGCACTCCAGCCTGGGTAACAAGAGCGAAACTCCGTCTCAAAAAAAAAAAAAAAAACTTGAGGTGAAATTTACGTAGCAAAATTAGCTGTTTTAAAGTGACATTTAGTAGAGTCACAATGTTGTGTACCTCTGGTTCCCAACTATTTTCATTACCCAAAACGAGAACCTCATATCTCCATTTCCCTTTCCTCCCCAGCTGCTGCCAACCAGCAATCTGCTATCTCTGATGTTCCTTTGATCTTTGAAGTTTCTGTCCTTTGGATGGGTTTTTTTTTTTTTTTTTTTTTTTTTTTTTTTTTTTTTTTTTTTTTTGATGCATTTGAGGGTTTAACTGTAGTATAAGGTGGGTTTAGTCAACTGGCTTCATTTCTGGAAGATGTCAGAGGTCCAATTCTCAGCTCAGTACTACTGGGCTGCATGTACAGCCCTGGGGGTTGGTACCAGGCCCACGGCACAGGTTTGTTCTCTGGCCTCTCAAGGTTAATCACCTGCTGCACTGAAGGGGCTGAGGTGTTCACAGTCTGCTAGTACCGACACTCTGACGGTGAATGCTGACCAAAGCACTTTGTTGGGGCAGTGGCAGCAGGTCTGCACTCAGGCGTATGTGCTGACAGTGGCAGCAGTTCAGCAGGGTGTGCATGTGGCAGCAGGGGCAGAGTGCCAGCCAGGGTGACACAGTGGTGTTTGTATGTATCCACTAGTGCTAATGGTGGCAGGACAACAGGGTGTGCATGCATGTGTGCTGGTAGGGGAAGGGTGGTAAGGTCTGCCTGCCTGTGTGTACTTCCACAGCAATGGGGGATGATGTGGTAAGGGGAGGCTGTGGGGATCCCTCTTGATTTAGTATGTTACACCAAGCAAGTCATGGCTCCAACTTTCAGATCTTTATCAAGTTTGGTAACAATAAGAAACATGGATCCATAGTTAGAAAATTCAATAAATATTAAAACAAACACTTAGTTCGATCTTCCTCAATGAATGACCATTCTAGTTTCATGCTTATAATTGAAATTAGCATGACCCACTGGCCTGCCAGAATTATCGTTCACCCTCAAGCAGTGATCTGTCCATGGTGCCTAGGCATTTTTACATTCTTGATAATGTCCCTTGATGCATTGAAGTTTTTAACTTTGAAGAAATTCAGCTGCTTTGGTTTGAATGTTTTTGCCCCCCTCCAAAACTCAAGTGTTGGAAACTTAATCTTCAACACAACAAAGTTGGTAGATGGGGCCTAATGGAAGGTAGTTCATGAGGATGGGGCCCTCATGAATTGATCAATGCTCCTCTAAAAGTGGATTATGGGAGTTGGTTCTCCCTCTGTTGCTCTTCTGCCATGTAAGGACACAGAGTTCCCCCCAGAGTTCTTGCCTTTTGCCATGTGAAGATCCGGGCAGCAGGCAAGGTGTCATTTTGGAAGAGAATGGCCTCAGCAGACACCAAACCTGCTAGTGCCTTGATCTTAGACTTCCTAGCCTGCAGAACTGTGAGCTAATAAATTTCTTTGATAAATTATACAGTCTGTGGCATTCTGTTATAGAACGGCACAGATAGACTAAGAGAGAAATTTATTTTTTCTTTTGTTACTCATGCTTTTGTATCATACCTTAGA